GTTTGTTTGTCCCTGCCCTTCTGTGGGATGTTGTACGGTTCAGCTTCACGTACAGGCTCCCTCCCTGTCGGCTGTACTGGCGACTGAGGACTTGCGTGCTCATGGCCTGCTGGCCATGAGGTGGTGTTGCGTTTCTTTTCTCTCCTGGGACTGTCTTCGGAGTGGCTTGTGGAGGATGTAGAGGTGCTTGGGGCTGTTCCTGGGTCAGGTGCCTTGGTCTTGGCTGCTCCTGCGTCGTCTGCGCTGCTGAAGCTGTTTGCGCTGATCCTGTGAGATGCAGTATCACGGTTTTTCGCCGCACGTCTCGAGTGTCGGCAGGCTGTGCTTGCTTTTTCTTTGGAATCTGAGCTGGGGCTTTGTGACCAGTGCTCTCCAGGCAGGCCAGGAGCAGTGGGGTCCGTCCTTCCATTGGGCCTACAGCACGGTGCAGGAGTTTGCGGCAATGTAATATTCGCTTCAGAGGGTTCTGGTCGCCCATGGATTGACGATCCGGCTCCATTCGGACTGCTCCTCGGTGGTTCATTGCCTGAACAGTGGGGGAGGGGGGGGGGCTCGATGCGGTCCTTGGCTCTTTGGGGCTGGTCGCTTTGGGTGACTCATCTGCCGAGTTCTCGGAGATTGGCTCTTTGGGGCTGGTTGCTTCGGGTGACTTGTCTGCTGAGTTCTCGGGGTTTAACTCTCCTGGCAGTTCATGTCTTGGATGGGGGGGGGGGGTGTCCAATGTCCTGGTGGACAGTCTGTGCCGGTTCATTCCTCTGTCCACTGAATGGACGGTCGATGTCGACTCATTCAGTTGGCTCTGCCAGATGTTTGGGCACCCGGAGGTGGACCTCTTTGCATCGGCGTGGTCAAGGCGTCTTCCCGTATATGTGGTGCCCTTCCCCAACTGCGAGGCCGTTGGGATCGATGCCTTCATGCAGGACTGGTCGAGGTAGGGGTTCCTGTACCTCTTTCCTCCCGGTTCAGCTGTTGCTCCAGGGCCTAGCTCGTTTGGAGACTTTCCACGGGAGAGTCGTCTTCTTGGTCCCATGGTGCCTGGCCCTTGCCTTGGTTTCAGGCGCTGCTTGCTCGGTGTCCAAACCCGGAGGATTTTCCGCGGCTCCGCCTCTTTCAGCAGATCAGTCCGGTCCATTACAAGAAGGACTGGTTTGATCTTTTCCTCGAGTCTTTGCGTTTGGTCTTTTTGACTCAAGTCTATCACCATCTGTGTGCTGATCAGATGGCTTCTTGATGGTGTCCCACCTTTGGTAACATGTCTTGGTCTGACATTTGGGCACAGGGATTTTGGTGGTCAAACAGGGTCCTGGCTGCACGCTACCTTGTAAATGTTCCTGGGCCTAGTCGGGCCTGTGTCGTTTTGGGTCGGTGGTTGCAGCCTGTTCTCGACTTCGAGTTGAGGAGCGAGTGCCGACCCCCCCCCCCCTCCCCCGGGTGAGTCTCTCTTGTTTAGTCTTTCGTAATGTAGCTCCTCTGGAGGCTTTTTTTTTTTTAAATAATAAATTCATCAATTATATTTCACATACTAAGTATCATAATTTAAGCAATTCAACTTAATGTTCAAGATATATATGTAAAGTGAGTCATCATCCAAGAATTCGAGAACCCTACAACTTGACTGCCCCTGATCCTCACACAACACTTGTAAACACGACTAAGTCACCTTTCATGCTCAACTCACCAAGTGTCTGCCTATAGCTGGATAGAGGAGGAGGGGGGGGGGAGTCTGCAGTTGTCTGGCAGCGTCACCCCCCGTCCGGCGACAGCCTATCTCGACGGCTGGCCTCTGCTCTGCTCTGCTGGCTGGTCTCCTATTCTGTCTCTTCCATGCTCTACAGCTCCCTCAGTATATATTGGGAAACCTAGTAGCTTACTCCGCCCACAAGTAGATAGCCTCCAACCCGTTCTCGCAAATTCGTATAGTCAATATTGACTTATTAACTACGTGCATAGGTGATATACTAAACATATTAGATACACTTAAGAAGCTTCAAAGAAAACAACGACATCACCTAACCTTGTTAGTATGTTCAGATAAGCATCTTATTGCTTTGTAATTACAATTATTACTTAACCTATACCTATAATAGGTTAAGTAACAATTGTAATTACGAAGCAATAAGATGCTTATCTTAAGATACTAACAAGGTTAGGTAAGGTCGGTGTTTTCTATGAAGCTTTTTAAGGGTATCTATTATGTTTAGTATGTCACCTATGCACTTATTTAATAAGTCAATATTGACTTTACGAATTTGCGAGAACGGGTTGCAGCCTCAGGCACTCTACCAAGCCACTCCTTAAACGTCGGCATGTTTGACAGACCTACCCGGCTAAAATTATCAGATTAGCGGAAGCAAAGTGAAATATGCTCGAGCTGACCTCAGGTCAATTTGAGGTCATTAACGTTTAGAGGTGTGAGATTCAGGTCGACAAACTGACGCCTCTCAGATCCTTGTCTCTGACTCATGTATCTCTATGTATGTATTAAATAAAACTAAACCAAACACCTTACGGTGTTACATCGTGACCCCCTGAGTCCTCCCTTGTGTCTTGTGAGTTTGAAGGTTGCTCTGTCCCCTAGTCTCAGGGTGACGCTCGCCTGTTTTGCCTCCACCATGTTGCCTGTTGGGTCGATGATTGTTTTGACCCAGAGTCGTGCGACGTGGGTTGTCTGTACAGTACGTGCTCCCGTTCACCCTGGCCACTGATAATGATGTGCGGGTGCAGGCAGCTGCGGTGTTGCATGCTAGGTTTAGATTGCTGCAACGCTCTAGGTTGGTTGCGGCCCCGGATGCCCCGAGACTGCTCCGTTTGGGTTCAGGGGTCTGGAGTTGGGGGTGGGAGTCGTTCCGGTTCCGTCCGCTCCTCCTCGTCCTTCCCCTTCTGTTGTGCATACTTCCTTCCCCTTGCTGCCGGCTCCAAACCGTTGGCGGATTTCGGGGTTGGGGCAGGGTCTGGTTGGGTTGAGACTCGGGGGGGGGGGGGGGGTCTCGGGGGATTTTCCTCTTCTGAGGTGGTGGCGGAGGCGTTCGAGCCTGTTCCTCCAGCCGTGCCGTATAGGTCTGACCAGTGGGCTCCCTTCCTTAGTGTTTTGTATGGCTGCCCTGGCTTTTACTTGCTGGGCTGGGGCTTTGGGGGTAACGACTCGGCCCCGGGTTCTGCTGTAAGGGTTCCCGGGGTTAGGGAGGGGTTGCCGGTATGGCATAGGCCCCGTTTTGCCCCGCTTGGGGTTTTGTGCCCTTAGAGCAGGGCTTGCAGTTTCTCAGAGTGGGGTTTTCCTTTTCCCCTCTGTGTTCATGTTGGTCTTGGGTCTACCCCTCCCTGGGTTCGGTTCCATGTCCCTTCGGGTGTGTTCGGTTCCGTCCTTCCTGGGGGTGCTTTTCACCCCTTTCCTCCCCTTTTTCACGCTTTTTTCACGTTGCTATTCCCTTTGTTTCGGGATCCTTGCACGTCTCATTTTTCTTCTCAGTGGTTAATTGCCTTCAGGGAGCCACCAAGGGGCTCCCTCCAGATACCCAGCCCCAGTGGCTCCCAGATTCCTCTCCCCCATCCCTTTAAGGTTTGTCGCTTCATTGTTGGGAGTTGGCTAAGGACATCTTCAAGAAAAAACTAGACTGTTTTCTAAAAGAAATTCCAGACCAACTGGGCTGTGGTGGGTATGTGGGCCTGCTGGCCTCTCCAAGCAACAACCGAGTGGACCAAACTGTCTCAAGTCATGCCTGGCCTCGGGCCGGGCTTGGGGAGTAGAAGAACTCCCAGAACCCCATCAAGCGGGTATCAAGGACCGGTGCTGGTCATTTGCCAATCTATAAGGGCTGGTCCTATCGATAGTAACAAGTTTCAAGCTAGTTTGAATGAATCCCTAGTTCTGTGTTAATCATTTGCATAGTCGTTCGGTAGTTTCTAAATTTCCTTTTCTTTGAAACCCTCCAGTTGTCTGTAAAGCTTTGCCGACTTTCTGGAAGCTTTTTCTGGTGGGGTGACGAATTATCACCTGCTCCCTGTGCTTCTGTGAAGGAGCCTGGTTCTAGCTATGGATCCTGATAAGTCAAACAGAACTTAAGCAAACTATGTGATCTTTTAGTATGAAGCAATCTCAGTGAGATAGCCACAGGGAGCCACCAGGGCTCTTCCAGAAAGAGACGTTTCATTACATTTAACATTAGGCTTCTTTCTTTCATTTTCATTTTGAGTATTTTATGAAAAATATGGAAAATTTGTTTTTAAATATAAAAAAGGGAAAGTCATTTGGGAATCTGGATTGGATTTGGAAAGATGTGATCTAGATTTTGAAGGTTGCATTGTACATGCAGCCTTCCCAGTTTTGGTTCATTTCACCTAATTACCTGAAGATCACTATCACACAGCAGGACCAAAGAGGCAAAGCTCAACCCCCGCAAGCACAACTAGGTGAGTACTTGGTGGGTACAGGCCCATTATTTATGGGCTCTACACTTTACATTTGTGGTGTCCAGATTACAGTTATTCCTGGCCTCTGCTTTGTGTTCATGTTTCACAGGTGGCAATCTAATCCCAGTACTGTTGCTAACATTCTGGTATGGTGGAAATGTTGTCCAAGCTAGTTTTGGTGTGCTCTTCCTTTTTGGTGGTCTTGCTTTTGGTACTGTGATGATCGTGTATCCCCAGACATGTCTCTATTGAGGGGGGGCCAGATTTTGGTTCTGGTCTCTTGTAGGTGCTAGTGAGTCATTAAAGACTGGTGTGAAACCTGGGTTTGGAAGGTTCCAGACAAGTAGCACGGGAAATTACCGAGTAGCTCGGGAAATTACCGAGGTACTACCAGAAAGAGTTGTCATTACATTCAACATTGGATTTATTGCTACTAAGATAAATTATATTCCCTTCGAATCTTTTTCTTGCAACACAAATTTCCCCTAAAGCTTCACTTATTTCTCATTTTAATTTATTTTCCTAGACTAAAGAGTTGTGTAGCGGATGAATCCTTATGACTAGTATCTCACATCATGCCTCACCTTCTTCAGCTTTCTCCAAGATGTGCAGTACCGCTCCTTAATGATCAACAGTGCCAATTATAATGTCCGGCTCATGCGTGAACGCAAAACTCGCCTCCCATTTCTCGATTCACAGACAGGTGTGTGTTTACAATTTTTATAATGTAATGATGTATTTCATGGTTGTTTTCATAAATTATATACCAGTATAGTACTAAAGTATTTATGCAGTATTTTTGTATACTTTTTACATGCAGACATAAATGCATTGATGCTGAAAATATTGATTACTGTGATTTAGTATCCATTCCACCCAGTGGAGAGGCATTCTTTGAACCTAAAAAGAATTTGGAAAACTATTATTTGTATACTAAACAAAAATTTGTTCTCATAACTTAATATTGTAAATTAGTTAATGACATGACACTGAGCTGTGAACCTGGAGCTGTGAATACAGCCCAGTTACCATGAAAGATATGATCAATTGAAATACGTTTTACTCCTAATTCTCCCTCCAGATTTATTATTGCATTACTGTATTGATATGTTGTGTAAATAATATCTTATCAATTTTGTTTAGGTATTGCACAGAACCCATGCAAGTTATACATGAGTGCTCGTCATCGCATGCCAGGAACAGTTGAGGGCCAACTCTATGTGTATCCCTCTCAAAGGTGGTGTTGCAGAAAAAGATCATACATGGCACTGGCTCATCAGGTATGTGGTGTCACTGATTAACAATGGCACTGACGTAAACAATTTCGGACCCTAATTGCAATATTTGTGCCACTGACATTGATGAGATTTGTCATGACATCTTACAATTAGTTGCTTTAATATTATTTCAAGAAAGTGAAGAGCCAATGAGGTTTCGGTCCGTCCTGGACCATTATCAAGTCGATTGTGATAATGGTCCAGGCATTATCCAGACCATAACAATCGACTTGATAATGGTCCGGGACGGACCGAAACGTCGTCGTCTCTTCACTTTCTAGTGTGCGGTTTGGTCAACATTTTTCAGCCACCTTATTGTGACTCATCTGCATTATTACAAGCTCTTTATAATGCTGATCTCATAATACAGTTGGCTTCATTCTCAACTTGCACTTGAGAATTCCGGGTACGATTCTTGGGCGAGACGGGAATGGTTGGGCACATTTCCTTTCACCTAATGCCGCTGTTAACATTGCAATAAATGAGTATCCAGGAGTTAGGCAACTGTTGTGGGGTTCCATCCTGGGGAAGGTCAGTACTGTAGTTCCACCTTGAGAGACCTTGATGTAAACCAAGAGAATGTGAGAGCGGCAGGGGGGGGGGGAAAGTGAGAGGTGGAGGAATAGAGGGAGAGGGGGAGGAAGAGAGAGAGAGGGAGAGGGGGAGGAAGAAAGAGAGAGAGGGGGAGGAAGAAAGAGAGAGAGGGGGAGGAAGAGGGAGAGGGAGAGGGGGAGGATGAGAGAGAGGGGGAGGAAGAGAGAGAGAGAGAGAGGGAGAGGAAGAGAGAGAGTGAGAGGGAGAGGATAGAAGAGAGTGAGAGGGAGAGGAAGGAAGAGAGTGAGAGGGAGAGGAAGGAAGAGAGTGAGAGGGTGAGGAAGAGAGAGAGTGAGAGGGAGAGGAAGGAAGAGAGTGAGAGGGAGAGGGGGAGAAGTGAGAATGAGAGAGAGAGAGAAAGAGAGGGAGGGAGAGGGAGAGAGGGAGGGAGGGAGGGAGGGAGGGAGAGAGGGAGGGAGGGAGGGAGGGAGGGAGGGAGGGAGGGAGGGAGGGAGGGAGGGAGGGAGGGAGGGAGGGAGGGAGGGAGGGGGGGGGGGGGGGGGAGGGGTAAGAGTGGGAGGGGGAGGGTCAGAGAGAGAGAGAGAGAGAGTGAGTGAGAGTGTGCACATGTGTGTACACATGTATACCTGTACATACATAAATACATATGTATACATAGGTACATAGGTTCCTGTCCCTCACAAAGGGAATTTTCTATTAATGCAGTATTATAGATAGTACAGTACTCTCATTATTGTATACTTTAAAAAAATTTTGATTTTAAAAATATGTTCAAATTTGAGAATGAGCCAATTTCTGTTCAATCCAAGAGTATATTGAAGATCAGGCTGTACTCGTACAGTACAGTACTTAAATTTAACAAATATACTTTACATAAAGTAGCTATATGTGTGAGTGATATTGAAATATGATAGGCTCTTTAACACACTTCATCTTTTAAAGAAGGGTGAAGCATTGCCCATTTGCATTACCACCATGTGAGTTACCATAAATGTGAGTCACTCTCACAGTGTGCACACTGTATAAATATTGCAAGAATAAAATAAAAAAAACACGGGATCCAGTTGTGCTTGAGAACGAAACGAAGCACGAAGTTATGCTTAGAAAATTAAACAAAAATTCTGACTGTTTTTGTTTTTCACCAATTTATCAAGGAATGCAGTTGTCTGTATTCTTCGATAATGTGGTGAAACCAAAAACGTTCAGAATTTTTGTTTCCTTTTCCTAGTGGATACTTATGCATCTATATAGGGTGTCCTAAAAAAAATGTATACACACTTTGAACAATTATAAAGCCAGTTTGCATTAAAATACATTTCATTTTCTAAATATAATAGAATCTGCAGACATTGTTTAATTGTTTTGTCAATGCCTGTTTTCAAACTGATGTCCATTCTGGTCAAGGCACTGCTGATAACGTGAAGCAATGGAATTGCAAGCATCAAGAAACATTTTGTTTGATATTTGAGTGCATTATTGTTCAATGGCTACTTTAAATTCAGCGAATGTCGGCAGTTTTGTAGCACAAACTCAAGTCTTTTAAGTATCCCTTAAAAAAAAAGTCTGGAGGTGTGAGGTCTGGTGAACGAGGAGGGTATTCTGCAAAACCTTCTTTGTCCAATCCATCTGTTTTGGAAGATCTCATCAAGGTAGGATTTTACATCACGATGGTAGTGTGAAGATGCCTCATCTTTCTGAAAATTAAATATGAAAAGATAGAAACATTAGCTGCTAAAGTGTGTATACATTGAACAAATCCACAAGGGTCGCGACAATGATTCGAACCTGCGTCCGGGAGCATCCCAGACACTGCCTTAATCGACTGAGCTACAACAGGGTAAACGAGTTGAAACCGAAGTTCTACTGAACTGTATACATTTTGTGTGTGTATACATTTTTGGGAGGATACCCTCTATATGTAAATATATTTATGAACTGCCCGTGGGTCAATACTTTTACACCACTGTGTGTATACCATGTTATACTGGTGTGCAATGTTATTGTTTTTCTGACAGTGGCTTCTTTCTACTAAATATATTGTACTCAAGTTATAACAATAGTCATTAATTACTATAATATCAGGACAATATACAATATATATACTGTAGAATTAACTCTGTTAGTTTCAAGAAACATGTATATGTCTGCAGGAAAATTTTCATATGCGTCACATGCTAAAACAGCATACTTATTTCTTTTTTCTTTGGCCTACAGCATTGGCTCTTAAAAAAGGTACATATGATTGCCAAAAATTTAAGTATATATATGGCATGTTTCATATAATTTGCCATGCATGTTATGTAATCAACTAGACAATATTTATCTTTTATGGTTTGCCAGGCATGTTTTGCCACATTAATTATTAGGATGCAAGGCATGCTATTTGCTATTTTGTGGTTAATTAACAATAGTACAAGTGGTTTTAGAGGAATGATGTAATTTTCAAAGCATAATTATAATATTTGGTTTGCAAAGCATGGTCAAAGTTTTTGTGCCTATAATTGATATAGACTGCCTATGTAGGGGAGAGGGGGGATGGTTTGCTCAGAAAACGTATTGGACTTTCTGGATTTCATAATTTTTGTCATGTTAATATATTCTACTCTTGCTACATTCTGTAGCCATTTGCAGAGGTGACAACTAATCCACAAATTAGGTCACTATATATATATATATACTGTATATAGTATGGTAGCAGCTTGGTAATGAAGTATTTACCTCCATTGGGTAAATTATCCTTAAGCTGACCTTTATTGACCCCCCATGGCCCCCTCCTCCTCTTCACCTTGCTATACATTATCCCACACAATAAAATTAATAACTATTGTAACGTTTGGTTAATAGGGTACTATAGTACATATAAAGCCTGTTCAGTATGCTGTATGTTGAAATTATCTGTATAAGAGAAATTATAAATGTTTGTTCAAGGGTGGTGGCCAGGTCCTTTTCCCTGTCCCATCTTAAATGCTTATCCTAATTCCTTCCAAGTGCTAGATGTAATGGTTTGGTGCTTTCTCCTGATAGTTCCCTTTCTCTTCCTATGGCAACCCTCATGAAATTAGCACTTTATAACACCCTGGCATACAGTGCTTACCTATCAGTGATATGGGGGAGTGAGATCTAGCGCTTTATACCCGACCTCCTAGTCATTCATACCTGGCATGATAATTACTCCCCTCTCAATTCTCAATATTGACATTTTCATCATATATCTTTTTTAACTTTTGGATTGAATTGTCCTTGGCAAACTCTTCCTTCAATGCATTCCACTTTCCTAACACCCATAAAGGGAATGAGAGCTTCCTTACTTCTCTTCGACTCGGTTGCATATCCAGCTTCCATATATCACTCCACATGCACTATCATGTGTCCATCCATTAGTTGTGTGGTTGGTGCCTGCACACTATGGAGAGTCATCTCTCCACATGCACTGTCATCTCTCCACATGCACTGTCATGTGTTCATCCATTAGTTGTGTGGTTGGTGCCTGCACACTATGGAGAGTCATCTCTCCACATGCACTGTCATGTGTTCATCCATTAGTTGTGTGGTTGGTGCCTGCACATTATGGAGAGTTGTGTCTCCACATGCACTGTCATGTGTTCATCCATTAGTTGTGTGGTTGGTGCCTGCACACTATGGAGAGTCATCTCTCCACATGCACTGTCATGTGTTCATCCATTAGTTGTGTGGTTGGTGCCTGCACATTATGGAGAGTTGTCTCTCCACATGCACTGTCATGTGTTCATCCATTAGTTGTGTGGTTGGTGCCTGCACATTATGGAGAGTCGTCTCTCCACATGCACTGTCATGTGTTCATCCATTAGTTGTGTGGTTGGTGCCTGCACACTATGGAGTCGTCTCTCCACATGCACTATCATGTGTCCATCCATTAGTTGTATGGTTGGTGCCTGCACATTATGGATAGTGAGAGATTTCTGTGGTGGGCAAGCTGAAGCCCAGAGCAAACTAATCCTATTCTCCCCTTCATTACAGTAGTTGATAATTGCAACCCATTAACTAGATAATACATTGCTGTATTAGTCTGTATAGTATTAGATGTTATATGATGAACTATAAGTAAATATCTTTGAGAATTTGAATTATTTCTAGGAGATACGTTGAGAATGCTTCATAGAGTTGATTTTAAATTTGAAACAGTTGAGCATTGTCATAATATGGTGTACTAGTACTCAGTTTTTAATTATTGTGTAGTGTAGACTTCTGATGACCACTTGTAAGCATCTTTTCTAAAAGATATTGTGACGGTAACGCGTTGGTGTTCGGCTGTTTAAGGCTAGGGGTATGGCCTCGTCACATAGTTATAAAAAAAAATAGAAAAACTGGAACTTCGTCTGTGGTAAGGTAAGGAGAAGACACACAAAACACAAGTAAACTTTAACAATGAAATTTTAATTACGTTAATTAAATCAAAACATGAATAAAAT